TTATCTATGCGCATGTACTATGCACTCTTTTTCTGGTAACAATTTTAGTTTTTATTTAAGTTGCTTTTCAAATCACAATTCATCTTTGTTAAAAAAAAAGACTCAAAAGTTTTAGAACGATACAAATAGGGACTTTTTACAGCAAGTTCTTTCGATATCATTTTATAATTTAGAATGAAGTGAATTTAAATGGGATGGAATAACTCTATATTGAACAGAATTGAGAAGAATAACACAAAATGGAATAAAATATATATTATACAAAAGAATAGAATATAATACAAACATATACAAACAGATCAAAATAGAATATCTTCTAGCTGGATAAATTCAGTAACTAGCTGAAGTGCCCGGGGTTGCCCATGGAATTTAAAAGAAAATAGAAATTTGAAAACAAAAAATCAAATTTGGAAAAAAATGTTCGAATTTTTTAGCATTTATTTTTGGCCCGGGGGTACTCAAGGGCTCCCAGAACAAATTTCAGCCGATTTGGTCCAGCAGTTTGGGCAGCATTAGGTAACATATTTTTATAGATGTACAGAGCGGCCCATATCATATTAGATTATCTCCAATCTTTAACGCCAAAATACGCACGTATTACACGAAAAATTTTATGAAATTTTTCAAATAATTCATTCTTCTTAAATTTTCTGATTTGTCCCCCAAAGCGTAATTTAGACCCATTGACTTGGTCTAATTTGATTATATATATATATATATATATATTTCTATACATATATATGAGCGAAGTGGTTTATTATGTGGATACACACAGTCATAGATTCAGACTTTACTTCAATAACTTTTTGCTTCCTACATTATTTTTTTATTTTTAATCGTTATGTATTAGTTAATTGTAAGTTTCAAAAAGTGAAATGTATGGAGAGTCAACCTGTAGACCTGGCTAGTTCTAATTTATTTTTAGATTACAAAATTGAAAATTTATTTATTGTGGGTTTCGCCGAAATATATCTACCTATATATATGTACATTTAACATAGTATAGGAAAATAAATACTTTGTGTTTTTACCTCTCAGACCTGATTTGTTTAATACTCCAATACAAATACAGTGCAAGGTATTTGTTTAAATATAAACAAACTTTAAAGGGACTGTAAAGGAAAAATGAAAATTGAAATTGTCCATTTTTAAACATTGCAATAATTCTTTACATGAGGACCTAACTAGCCAGCAACGAAGTATAAATGAGTGCAATTTTAGTTAAAAAATCAGATTTTATTGAAATAGAACAAACACGTGTTTAATTAAATCTTCCCTGTAATCGATATGTTGGAATGAATTGAATGACTGACTAGCTAAATACAGCATTACTCACATTGTTACATTTTAAACATATTACAGTGTTTAAAGAAATCCTATTTATGTCGTTGTCCTATTTAAAAATAACAAAAGGCAATTCGAGCTTTCGAGCTAATTGAAAAATATTGATTTGATTGGATTTCATAAAACTTTGATAGAATCTGATAAATCTTTTATAAAAGTTAATAAAAAAGATGAGTTATACAGAGATTAGATTATCCCATATATATCTAGATTTATTCGTGCAAATTTCAGAACTTTTAGCTTTAGTTCTTAAAAACACTGACATAAACTTAAAATCGCCTGTTACGTGAGAGATAGCAGCCTTTCTACAGTTTTTTTTTATCATTGACAAATTTAATTTATAATTGTTCCTACACATTAAAATCTTGTTTTTCATCCTAAATTCAGAAAATTGATAAAATATAATAACATTTTTGCAATGTATATTATAACAAATGTATTAAAACAAGGGCGAATTGCAGACTCATAAGTCTGTAGGGTGGGAAGACGTCATTTAACAAATTTCATGTGAATTTGATGTTTTAATCAAGCTGATGCTCTCTCTCTCTGTCTAGTAATTCAACGCTGCCTGCGCGGAACTTCTTTTTGCTTCGGCCTCAGGGTTATTGTGAACGAAAAACCCTTAAATCCAAGAATGTAATGCAAGGAAAGTTAATTGCAATTGAGTATACTCGAGCATACATATTGAAACCAGTTCGCTCTGGGCGGAATTTGTAAACAAGAATAGATGCCTCAGTGTTCGTTTAGTATCTGAGGAGGTTAAAAGCATTAAATTTTGATAATTTTGAAAATTCACATAATAGTTTCCTATGACCAGAATATTTCATTGATTATTTATGTGAAAGATGGATCCCATGCCAGGCTTCTACTTCCGTCTTGTGTTTACATTACCGCCCAGTGACAGAACACTGCAGTACAAAAGATGCGTACACCTCTGAAATACCTTTCCTTGCATAAAATCCTTGCTTAAATCTTGAAAAGACGACATCTAGTGTTCTTTCTGTATTGTTATTAATCTATGGATCCGAATTAGAGTGCAGGTTCTTTATTTGTCTTTGGATAAGGGAATAGGAGCAGTTCACTCACGGGCAGCCGTAGTACATTTAAATTTCCGCGCGATCTCGTTAGCTATCGATGTCAATACAATCACTATCAAACAAGGCACAATCTCCGCCCGTATATTTTAACGAGAACTTCTAATACTTTCTTCTAATACCGTAATCAAAGCAGAGTCTTAATCAACTGAGATTTATTTAGTAGTTCGTTTTAGAAATGAGTTATTTACAGGGTAATTACACGTTATGCGCTGTTATATATCTATAATGTAGTCAACAATCACAATATGGGTATGACAGAGTTATATATATATAACATGGAATGGGTTAATTACAATACAGGATTTGCGTAATTACTAAATGAACAAGATACAACGTAAATTACAATAGGCCTCAATTTTTGCTACACAGTGATCGAGAGTACCATATTATTATTTTAAAAATAAATGTAAAAAACCACTGACTTATTCTGTGTTTAAGAAATTTCGTTCATAATTGCAATGACTCAATCTACTAAAACGTGTTTTGTTCTGAAATATTAATTGTTTATTTTTTAATAAAATCAAATCTCTAACCTACAGTTGTGTTATTGAATCCGTTTCACAGTCTTACCCCCAAAGGACGAGACTTCAGAGACTACTGTATGTAATTTTTACTGTCTGTTTACTCATATTCATGATTTCTTTTAACAAAACCTTTCTTTCCAGTTAAAGACTACATTGAAAAGTCTTAATTTAACCTTGGGATTGTAATATTTAAAGATTTTGAAGTCGCATTTACAGTCTTATCTCTTGAGCGTAACCATGCATTATTGTAAACTTTCAGAATGCTGCCGGAGAAATATATGTTTTTAAATATATAGTTCTCAAAGTCAGGTGTTTCAGAATACTACAGAAGAAATATATGTTTTTAAATATATAGTTCTCAGTCAGGTGTTTCAGAATACTACAGAAGAAATATATGTTTTTAAATATATAGTTCTCAGTCAGGTGTTTCAGAATACTACAGAAGAAATATATGTTTTTAAATATATAGTTCTCAGTCAGGTGTTTCATAAAGTTGATCTTAAAAAATCTAAACCGAATTGATAGATAGATAGATAGCAGGATGTAAAGTATAAAATATCATTTATTTTTATACGCAAATGGGTATGCCTTATTTCAAAGTTAAGAAGTATCGTATTGATGCAATTAACCACCCCCCCCCCCTTTCCACCCTTGGTTTTCTTTAACAGGTGAGATTAACATATTTTCATTTTCAATATATTTCCTAAATTAGATTCGTTATTATGTAATTCTAGTTACATCAAAGCCGAGAATACTAAAATAATACTGTTTATAATGTAGAGAATATACAACCCTGTTAAAACCAATCTACCTGTTGAATTTTTTCTCCAGGACACAGGTTTAGTACGGTGTTGCTCTCCAGTTCAGGTTTTAACCTGGAGATTCAAACCATACCCGCCCCCGGAGCAATATATATACTATACAATATGTGATACTATCTACAGGGTTACCTAGAAAGAATGAGACTTCAGAGACGACTGTACGGAATTTATTCATGATTGCCTTCCACTTATTTCTTTACAAATTGTAAAACTATACAATTAAAAGACGATACGAAGAAACGTAAAGTATATAAACAATAAAATGGTTTGGCTGTAAAGTAAGATAAATAATAAATATGTTATCGAAATTAAAGATTTAAAGCTGAGACTGTATATTATCTTTAGATTAATTTTGGTAGGAAAACATATAAAATTAAAAACCCAAGCTAAAGGGACTTCAAGCATAATTTATGCGACCTTCTATTTTTTAATAAAATTGAATCCCCGATTCACTTTAATCACAACAGTGACTTTAAAGCTTTTATAAACTCAACACACTTTAAAGTTAGCACCGCTTTCTTAGCTTGAAAAAGTGTTCATTATTGAAAATATTCTCTTTTTGTTTGTGAAGAAATAATGCATAAATTATAAATAAACCACAATTGAAAAGAATTGATTTATACGGAGAAGATGGTGGATATCTCAATATTCTTCATCTGACAAAGCTAACAAGGGTACCGTTGTAAATCGGTCATGTTCCCATTTTTAAATGGAGTGTTACTTTAAATTTCGTAAACAGTCCCTTTAAGACTGGCAAACTATGATAAGACTTTCTGCAATTTTAAATGAGTCGCAAAAAAATGTTGAAAACTTTTTCCGTAGATCATTGTTGTTGAATGTCGAGTGACAATATGCTGAAGAAAAATGTTAATTTTTTCAAGTCATCGCGGTAATTTAGTTCAACTGTCATCTTATTCTTAACCTTGATTTACCCTTGGATTTTTCCTAAACTAAAAGAGACTATCAACTAAATTCAAGTGACAGCTTTTATTCTTCTATTAAAAAAAATTAATTCATTTTTAAATGAATTCTTACTCGATCTTTCATAAATTTTTCTTAACTTTATTAAATTTTATCTAAATTGTTTTGTTCAATCCATTTTCAAATCTCTTCCGAAAGATGTGTTAAGTTTTTTATTCAAATCATTATTTTAGCCATTTTTATTCTAAATTTTTTGTTTTATTAATGCTTATTTTCAGAAATTATGTTATAACTATAATAAAACTAAAATTTTCAGTACATAAATTTATTAATTTTTATCCTAAATTAAATTAACAAAATGAACAAAGCATTTGCTGTGAAACATTTAAAGCGCGGAATATGTATTTTTATCCTGATAAAACTAATCATGTTCCTGCAGAACGTTGTCTTCCCTAAACCCGTATTTACCAACTCCAGGTAAAGACAAATACATTTCATAGATGGACATTTCATAGAAAAAGAAATGCAAAGGTAAGACATTTCATAGATAGGAAATTTCATAGAAAAGGAAATTCAAAAACAGGACATTTCATAGACAGAGTAGACTTACAGAGTAGACTTTCCATAGACAGGACATTTCATAGACAGACCAGATTTTTCATAAAAATGACATTTCATGGACAGAGTAGATTTATCATAGACAGGACATTTCATAGACAGTATATTTTTCATAGACAGGACATTTTATAGACAGACCAGATTTTTCATAAAAATGACATTTCATGGACAGAGTAGATTTATCATAGACAGGACATTTCATAGACAGTAGATTTTTCATAGACAGGACAATTCATAGACAGACTAGATTTTAGAAGCAAACAAGAAATCAACAATATGTTATGTTTAAAGCAAAAATATATATTATGTGTGGAGTAAATCCAAAAAACCGATATTTCTTTCAAGGTCAAAATGTTGCACAGTGTACCAAGATCAATTGTTTTAAAAATGTCTGTTCTAAACATTGCTGTTCTTATGCAAATAAAACCGACTCAACAATTATTCAAATACGATGAACATTTAAAAAAAAAATATTTTCAGGATCAGAATATTGCAAAGTTTAATGAAAATAAAACTTGAACATTATACAGTTTGGAAATCTTGAAAGTTGTATTAATTTAAATAAAAACAAAAACGGATTCAAAACAATTAATAACACTAACTCTAGGACGGATTCAAAACACTTAATAAGACTAACTCTAGGACGGATTCAAAACAATTTAAAAGATTAACTCTAGGACGGATTCAAAACAATTAATAAGACTAACTCTTGGGCGGATTCAAAACAATTAATAAGACTAACTCTAGGACGGATTTAAAACAATCAATAAAACTAACTGTAGGACGGATTCAAAACAATTAATAAGACTTACTCTAGGACGGATTACCCCCTGGAGAAGATTTACAATGATGAGACCGGAACCTTCCAGCTCATTGATCAACCGGATGCGTCCTTCCTTCTTAAACCCAGAGAAGGATGTGTTAAGGGACAGAGCTCGGTTTTCATGGCTCTTTCCTCTCCTAAAAACACAGAGAAAAGAGACGCACTGAGGTATTCAATAGACTTTTAAAGGGGCTGTCTACGTATTTTCAAGTGAAGCTCAACTTAAAACAGAACACTCCAGATTCACAATTGCGCCCTTTAGGCTTTCGTTTATACAAAACAGACAAATTAAGTAATTAGCAGAATTCACCAACAGTCCCTTTAAGATAAAATGATGTTAGGCATTGGAATACGGTATATTAAAGTCATAAAAGGCCCAAATAGATGTTAAATAAAACTTCTACTTAACGAATATTGAAAGAAAGGAAAGTTTCAGCCATTTGTGTAATAATTAAAAATACGCAAAAATTGTTAAAATTAAGATTGGAATTACCAAGCTTCAATGTGAAACAAAAACAAGATTAATAACAGAAAAAATGTTTAATTTTAGCCTAAACTAGGGCTTTTTGATTTACTTTTGAAGCTCCGCGGTTCAATTCCCGTACCGGGTTGACATTTATTTCTGTAGAGGCTAGTGAAATTTATGTGACTGTACGTTAAGTTTGCTAATTATATTTATATATTCCTCCAAAAAAACTGCATTAACCCTTTCTTTTAAACAAATGGTGTTTTGTATCTTCCATCATTCCATGGTATATAAACTAGCTAAAAAAATCGGTGTAATTTTACAAATAATAGCTCTGCCTGGAATTTAAACTTTTTCTTAAATATTTTTATACCAAACTAAGAACATTTTCGTGGTTCCTCGAGTTCCCTAACCAAAAGGAATTGAGTATTTGCCTCTGATTTTCTCATACCTATATCTTTCTATACTCTGATACTCTGATTTTCTCATACCTATATATTTTTTAACTATGAATTATGTTAGATGACATAATCTTAGTTTGGAATATCAAAGGAATGCGCCCTCAGGGGGCAATTAGATATATAGGGATTAGAAAATTTAAGTTTGAAGCAAAGACTCGATTCCTTTGAATTTTATCGATTCAGAAGTTCGTCGGTCTGGTCGGATATAGATATAGATACATACATAATACCTTGAATGTTCAGGAAGCAGTTTGAAGAATTGGAAGATGTAAAACTAGTTTTCTTGCTCGGGAAGCTGAGCAGCTCAGAGCAGCAACAAAAGCTGCAAGAAGAACAGCTGCTTCATGGAGATATTATACAGAACTCAGGTAAATAGCAGCTGCAAGCAGAACAGCTGCTCCATGGAGATATTACACAGAACTCAGATAAATAGCAGCTGCAAGCAGAACAGCTACTCCATGGTGATATTATACAGAACTCAGGTAAATAGCAGCTGCAAGCAGAACAGCTACTCCATGGTGATATTATACCGAACTCAGGTAAATAGCAGCTACAAGCAGAACAGCTGCTCCATGGTGATATTATACAGAACTCAGGTAAATAGCAGCTGCAAGAAGAACAGCTACTCCATGGAGATATTATACAGAACTCAGGTAAATAGCAGCTGCAAGATGGTGATATTATACATAACTCAGGTAAATAGCAGCTGCAAGCAGAACAGCTACTCCATGGAGATATTATACAGAACTCAGGTAAATAGCAGCTGCAAGAAGAACAGCTACTCCATGGAGATATTATACAGAACTCAGGTAAATAGCAGCTACAAGCAGAATAGCTACTTCATGGTGATATTATACATAACTCAGGTAAATAGCAGCTGCAAGCAGAACAGCTACTCCATGGAGATATTATACAGAACTGAGGTAAAAAGCAGCTGCAAGCAGAACAGCTGCTACATGGTGATATTATACAGAACTCAGGTAAATAGCAGCTGCAAGCAGAACAGCTGCTCCATAGAGATATTATACAGAACTCAGGTAAATAGCAGCTACAAGCAGAACAGCTGCTCCATAGAGATATTATACAAAACTCAGATAAATAGCAGCTGCAAGCAGAACATCAGCTCCATCGCAAAATGCAGTCCTCGATATCAAAAAATTCCAGCATGTTAGCAGGGTATTGTAGTTCTCGTGTAGAATGAATGACGACCCTTTTTCATTTTTCTCATGTTAATTGGTTCTCACCGATCTGTAAAATATTGTGTATGGTCAAAGTTCATCTCACAAAACTAAAATTTTAAGGTTAAAGGGAGTTTTCGCGAAAAATGAAAGGATGTATCGGTTATCTATTTTAATTCGATAACGATTGCAATTAATTTTTCTTATATCTGCATTCTGCATACCTATTTAAGGAGAAACTATACCCAAAAGTATGGGACCCATACAAAAATAAACATATAAAAGTAAAATTAGTAGCTTAATTGATCCCCTTTCATTTTTCGCCAACACTCTCTTTAAGTAGAAAAATTGTTTTCTTAGAGAAACATATTCCTATGTTCCTACGACTACGGATTATGTGGGATAAGTCAGGAAAAAAATATGCTTGATTATTCTGTCACTTCCACCATACTCTCCACACCCTCATCCATCTTGAAAGGGATTATTGGCGAGTTAGATAAAAAATATTTATTGTAATTTGATGCAATTATTTAAATTTCAGTTCTTATACGTACTTTGCTTCCTTTCCGTCATTTACTTCCTTTCCGTCTTTTACCTCCGTTCCGTCTTTTACTTCCTTTCATTCTTTTATTTCCTTTCCGTCCTTTACTTCCTTTCCGCTTTTTTCTTTCTTTCCGTCCTTTACTTCTTTTCCGTCTTGTACTTCCTTTCCGTCCTTTACTTCTTTTCCGTCTTTTACTTCCTTTCCGTCCTTTACATCCTTTCCGTCTTTTACTTCCTTTCCGTCCTTTACTTCTTTTCCGTCTTTTACTTCCTTTCCGTCTTTTACTTCCTTTCCGTCCTTTACTTCCTTTCCGTCCTTTACATCCTTTCCGTCTTTTACTTCCTTTCCGTCCTTTACTTCCTTTCCGTCCTTTACTTCCTTTCCGTCCTTTACTTCCTTTCCGTCTTTTTCCAACACTGTTTGAACGTACTTTTTTGTACTTTATGTCATGTCTTGTACGTCCTTTCGTCCTTTTTTTGTGCGATAATTTCGATGTTACGTCCTATTTTGTACGATACTACTCTTACTTCCTGCTTGTCTGATTTGTCCTACTTTTCTAATACATCTTATACATTCATATGTCCTATTTGTCAAATACGTAAAATATGTCATATTCGTCCAACAAGCCTTACATGTCCAATTCGTCCAATACGTCTTATATGTCCTATTTGTCCAATACGTCTTATATGTCCTATTTGTCCAATACTTCTTATATGTCCTAATCGGCCAATAGTTCTATTTAGTTTTACAAGTAAAATATTTATTGCAGTACCTTCTACATATGTCATATGCAGCGGGTCCCTAAAATATAATAAAAAACCATAAATCAAGCTCGTAGCAATTTTTTTTATACCGTACTGGTACACGTTGTTGTTTTGTTACCCCTTTCAAAATTTGTAAAAGATCCCTTGAAGAATAAACCTAAGAACAATTCTGTTTAGAGAAAAAAAATAACAACAATATTCTTTTCTTTGTTTTCTTCATTCAAGGGCAAATAAAATAGTTGAATAAAATATCCCAATAAATCTCCAAATCATTTGATTAAAACTTGCTTTAACAAGTTCTTTCAGATGGATATGTCATAAAAGCCCTTTTAAATAGATTATCTCAGGCTGTTGAGGAATCGGGTCTTTGCCACAAACTCTGATTTTTTAATCCCTACATCTGAGAAACCCAATCAGTAGACCTTATGATATTTCAAACCATGAATTCTATACCAAATAATTTTAAATGTTAAAGGTTTACACCATCAGCTTGAAAAGTTAGAGTCTTTATAATTGTCAGAGCCTCAGTACCCTTCTCAAAACATGTGAATCACGCCTGAAATCTCGTATGGTTTCAATCATGACGCCTTTTATTGTAAATCTATTATTAAGAACAACAAACGGGATAAATTTTATGTAAAAATTAAATAAGAGGACCTACAAGGTCGCACAGTCGTACCAGCAATGTCGCACATATTTTAACTTTAACAAGTTCAATGTGATGTTAAAAAACGTGCTGTTTAAAGAAAATGTAAATTGTAAAAATGGATTTTTAAGTTCACCACATGAGAAACGAAACCTTCTGTTTGTTGCAGTAATTCTATTTTCTTTTGAATAAAATCTTCCGACTCGAGAATTAGACAGGATTAGGCTTGAAGGGGGGGGGGGGGGGGCAATGCGCGCCCTTAGATTTTACAACTTAAATGAATAATTTGTTTTTAAAATAACAAATTTAAATGAAGTCGGTAGTTACACATAAAAATACTCTATATTTGCGGTGATAAGCTTGAAAATACTAAAAAGTTGTATATAAAGGTAGGGGACGGAAGAATGTCATTTGTGGATAGCTAGGAAGTTCTACGGGTGCAGTCTCCCTTCCCTCCCTCGCAAGGGTTGAAAAGGATGGAAATGGTTTAGGAAGTGACAGATGAATATCGAATATATAGATTATAGATACTCCAAGATAAATGGTTTTTAGAAGAGATAAATGCAAGATCCAGGGCCTACAGACAAATCCGTCTTGACAGCCCAGGTTTTGGAGTAGATGGGTATCAGAGTATAGATAGATTTATGTTTTACATACAGTTGTCATGTATATCAATACAACGAAGACGACTTTCTATTTCAATTTTTGATTTTTACCAAGCTTACAAGCACCATAGTTATACACGATCATCTAAACCAAGCCTCTCTTTGTTTACTATTAACTCGCAATTTGAAAAAACCAGACCACTGTACTATATGCACAATCTACGTACATATGATTTGATTGCATCTAGAAAAGTGAAAAAAGTATGGTCTGAAAAATTCACTTCATAGCTAGAAATTCGTTTAATTCACGTACTGTATACAATTACAGTACAGTTCGGTCTGGTCGAGCCGGTACACATTTGGTTGAATTGGTCTGCGAATATTGGTTAAGCATATAATGCGTAAATAATTTCTACGATATTTTGATTGAATAAAAATATTTACTAGATGTTGTTCTAATCCATTCTGTATTTCTCAATGTTTTTGACAAAAATTAGATTAAGACTGAAAATATGAATAATAAAAAAAGCTTTTACTCCTCACTATACACACATAAATTTTCCTAATACAGTCATAATTCAGGGGTAAATATTTTATAAAATTAGTATTTAAAGACTNAGTAGGACATGATGAACTGGCAAATATGTTCTCCTCTTTTTGATACTTTCTCCCGGAAAAATCATAAATTTTTCATAACTCACCAAACTAATAAAAAAAACCATTTAAAATATTAGGAACAAAATGCTAATAAAAAACAAAAAAAAAACACCTGTAGAGTGTAAAATCATAGTGCAAATTGCAATGAGAATAATTATAAGATAGTCTTGCGCTTGGGTTTGGCCTAAAACAGTGAGTAGCAAAGAATGAAAATGATGTTCACAGTTAAATTATAGATATAACTATACTAATCATAGATATAACTATACTAATTATAGATATAACTATACTAGTTAAATTATAGATATAACTATACTAGTTAAATTATAGATATAACTATACTAGTTAAATTATAGATACAAGAAAATTCAAGGCGCTTCGCGCCCTTCTTTCTAGCCTTAGAGGGCGCTTCGCGCCCATCTTCTAAATTAGTTGTGAACATGTTCTCTTTGTGTACATCGTAAAACAAAACAAAAATAATTCGCGGATTTTCACAAAAAATTTCGTGGATTTTAAAAATTTTTAAAAATTTAATGGAGATCTAATTTTGATGGAGACAAATATTTGAAATTTTGATCATTCATAAACCTTCCCTGGGGTCCCTAGATGTCCCACAAAAAATTTGGGCCCGATCGGTTCAGCCGTTTTGACGCTTATTGGATACAAACAGACAGACAAGCCAAATTTATATATAGATATAACTATACAAATTTTACTTCTTTAGTTGATGAAAATTCTTGATAAATAAGCTTTAATTTTAACATTAATATTTTAGTAATGGATGCTTACTACACGCTGGCATACAAGTCTCTCAGTGGATTCATTTGGGTCAACAGGTAGAAATCTTTAAAAAAAAACAGGAAAAAAGTGTAAAGGGAAAAAAAACCTGGAAACGTTTTACGTTAAATGATTTTTAAGACACAGTATAGCCTTCAAAATCAAGATTACTGATGGAATTATCAAAAATCTTACATTTTAAGAATTTTTCCTTAAAGACTTTTAATGAGTCAATTTTTAAAAAGGGACTATTAAATCATTATATGTGAGAACATTCAAAAATAATATCAATGGTTTGCAGCCATTCCCTTTAATTCTTTTTCAAAGAAAGCAAAGAAAAAAACGGCCAATATATGTATTATTTTAACGACAATTACAATTATTAGAAAGAGGTTTTAGGGTTAATTGATAAAGGTTTTCTTTCTTTGCACTGTACATTGTACATAATCTAGAGTTAAAGTGCACAGACTGTACAAATTAATGTTTACCAAGAATGTAATGCAAGGAAAGTTGATTGAAGATGCGTATACTCTGCGTACATTTTGAAACCAGTTCTCTCTGGGCGGAATTTGTAAACAAGAAAAGATGCTTCAGCGTTCGCTTAGTATCCGATGAGGTTAAAAGCATTGAATTTTGATAATTTTGATAATTCACATAATAGTTTCCTATGACCAGAATATTTAATTGATTATTTATGTGAAAGATGGATCCCATGGCAGGCTTCGACATCCGTCTTGTGTTTACATTACCGCCCAGAGACAGTACACTGCAGTACAAAAGATGCGTACACCTCTGAAATAACTTTCCTCGCATTAAATCCTTGATGTTTACCAAGTTTTGTTTTTCCCTTTCAACTAATAATTCGAAAACTAATCCTCTAAAGTTTATATTCTGTTTCTATGTTTAGATCTCGATACAGATTTAAAGGGAGAGACCGGCTATGTAAGGTAGTTAAACTGAGTATGCAGTGTTGTGGAAAAACTCTTTAGGGTTCATTTGAGACATATATAAACTTTTAAAAAATCTGTAAATCCTAAGGTTGAGGGCAAAGTCGGCGATCAAAATCGTATTTTGGGTGGATACGTTTTCAGAATTAGTTTTTAAAAATTATTAAATAACGACGACAAAAAATGTAAGCAAAATTCTGCAGTAAACTAATTAGCTGTTTGGGAACAGGTTGAGAAAATAATAAAAATTAACTCTTATCATCGAAAATAAGTAATCTTATTCAATTATTAGTTTCTATAAGCTCTCTTTAATCATAAAGATTTTCTGCGGATTTTCTGGAATTTTTAATAAAAAGACGATATTTGAAGAATTTGAAGAAATCTGCGAACAAATTTATAGAATATAAGAAATTCCATATAATGATGAAAAAGAAAATAATTTATTTTAACTTCGATTTATTGACAAATTTCTTTTGAGAAATATGTTCCTAAACATGTAATTAGTTTACTATAGAATGTATACTATATTTTTTGTCGTCTTTATTTAATAATCTAAAAAAAATCCGATTCTGAAAACATTCCCATCCACATTCATGATTTTGAACGTCGACTTTGCGTTTAAACTCAGTATATATCGTGGAAAAGTTTTATATGTGTCAAATGAATCCTAAAGAACTTGTCCAAAACACCCCATACTCAGTTTAACTACCTTACATAGGCGGTCTGTCCCTTTAAAATAAGAATTTTTCCAAGCTGAAAAATGAAATTAATAAATCAGAAAATTTATTTTGTTTCTTGTTTTTTGTGCTTGGGTTTACAGCAAAATTGGGAAACCGTTCAATGAAAATTTAGCTCTTTTCATGAAATTTTACATAAATCTATTTCGCGAAAAAAAATTTCGCAAAAAATTCGCGAAAATAAAAAATACAATTTTTCGCAAAAGTCCAGCATATTTTTCTTTCTTCACTAAATTCCGTACCGGATGAGACTTCAGAGACGATTGTACGGAATTTATTAAGTCCATTTCCTTGCATTCAGGGGGTTCCTTGCAGGCCAAAACTGACTTATTTCTGTGCTTAATCATTTAATAAACCATCAAAGTATTTAATTGATAGCAGAAACCAAAAATCAAGCTTCAAATCGTTATACTTTAAGAGTTTTGGTCCTATTTATACAGTCTCTTTCTTGTTGGCCGACAGACTTTTGGTTTGGAGATGAAACAGGGTTTCTACTGGATATTCAGAATTCTAAAGAGCAGAAATTAATTGGAAAAAAGTAACATTCAGACAAACAAGAAACTGTCTTTGAATATATTTATGATCTTTAAAACCACATAAAGGAATTGAGTCTTTGTAACAAAATCAAATATTTAAACCCCAATATCTTTAGAACCCAATGTTGTAAACCTTTGATATTTTAAACTTTTATTATTTGATTTAACAGAATTCATAGTTTGAAATATCTAAGGCCTACAACATTTGATTCCAAATATATAGTGATTAGAAAATCAGAGTTTGTGGCAAAGACTCAATTCCTTTATAGAAGAAAAGAACGAACACTGAATAGTTGTTCTCTTGAAGCAGTTGAAATAATATTCGCAAATTCAAACCTCTGCCTAAAATAGAAAACTTCATACCCAGTGCACTATCCTAGGATACCAAGGACAAATCTCCGAAACAAGGGAGAAATATTTAGCCTTGAATTCAATAGCTTTTTACTGTGCAGCATGTTAACTGTACAGCTGTGTCTTTAGGAATTTGTCCAGCTAAGCAGTATAGTAATAAGCAAATATGTAATTATTGGGAAATTTTTTCAAATTATTTTCAGGTATTGTGGAAATGTTGATTACATTGTAAAGATTGATGACGATGTAAAAGTAAATCTTCCAGCTCTCAGATCCAAGATGACCGCCAAGTACCCAGCAGGGCCCCCTCCTACTGTACAGTGTCCCAGCGTAATGCGCAACATGCGACCCTGGCGGCACAATCATACAAATACAGTTATGGGAAAGTGGAGCGTTACAAGGTGATATTTGAATACCCTATTATTTGTCACAAAGAATGGAGAGTATAAAGAGAATGAGAGAGATAAAGAATGCCAGATCAGATAAAAATACTTAAGAATAAATCTTGAATACACAGATTATGGTTCGGTTTAGCCGTGGGTTATCTAAAATGACTTTACTGAACAGATATGACACTAGACACCATCCACTCAATATCTATTCTCTGTCTAACTCCATATCTATTCTCCATCTGACTCCATATCTATTCTCAGTCTGACTCCATATCTATTTTCTGTCTGACGATCCATATCTATTCTCTATCTCACTCCATATCTATTTTCTATCTCACTCCATATTTATTCTCTGTCTAACGATCCATATCTATTTTCTGTCTCACTCCATATCTATTCTCTGTCTGACTCCATATTTATTCTCTGTCTGACGATCAATATCTATTTTCTATCTCACTCCATATCTATTTTCTATCTCACTCCATATCTATTTTCTATCTCACTCCATATCTATTTTCTATCTCACTCCATATCTATTCTCTATCTCACTCCATATCTATTTCTGTCTGACTCCATATCTTTTCTCTATCTAACTCCATATCTATTTTCTGCCTCACTCCATATCTATTCTCTATCTCACTCCATATCTATTTTCTGTCTGACTCCATATCTATTTTCTGTCTGACTCCATATCTATTTTCTTTCTGACTCCATATCTATTTTCCGTCTGACTCCATATCTATTTTCCGTCTGACTCCATATCTATTCTCTATCTCACTCCATATCTATTTTCTGTCTGACTTCATATCTATTTTCTGTCTGACTCCATATCTATTTTCTGTCTGACTCCATATCTATTTTCTGTTTCACTCCATATCTATTTTCTATCTCACTCCATATCTATTTTCTGTCTCACTCCATATCTATTTTCTATCTCACTCCATATCTATTCTCCGTCTCACTCCATATCTATTTTCTGTCTGACTCTATATCTACTCTCCGTCTGACTCCATTTCTATTCTCTATCTCACTCCATATCTATTTTCCGTCTGACTCCATATCTACTCTCCGTCTGACTCCATATCTATTCTCTATCTCACTCCATATCTATTTTCCGTCTGACTCCATATCTATTCTCTGTCTGACTCCATATCTATTATAGGACTGAGATGTCAAGACGAGTTCATCCTGATTTTTGCCCTGGTTGGCTTTACTACACTACACCAAAGGTACAGTTTTATCATATCTTCATTTTATGCTTCAAAGATATGAAAGCTAATATTTTGTAAAAGTTATCTTAAAGAATTTTTAAGACAGAATTAAAAAAAATGTTTAAAATAGTTATACAATTTATAAAAAAAAAAAAAATTTTAGAAATTATTATGAAAATAATGCTAATAATGATTGAGGATGATTTGTTTTGAAAATAAGTTAAATGATATTTTGATCCTGGTTTTAATAATTAATTATCTGTGTGTTCAGGCCGGATTAGCTCTGGTGCATATTGCAGCTGAAACTGCACAGGTAGACATTGAGGCGACATTCTTTCAATTTAAACTCTACTTAAGTCTGGTTTTCTACATTTTTGTCACTGAAACTCTGTTTAAGTTAATAACTAAACTTAACTTTAGATTTTTCTTTCGGGATTTATATTACACTCTTAGATTGAGTTATCAATGATAAAATTTTGTTTGATTCATAGACCCATGTCTTATTTTCCACACTTAGATTAATTACAAGAAGTTCGGTTTATTTATGAAGTCAACTTTCGATTTCAATTTTGTTTTATATCAAGTTTTTAAACAGCATTGATACACAAAAACTTGGAAACAAAAAGAAGCGCCAATTTAAAAAGCTTTTCTTTAATTACTTATAAATTTGTGTACGGTTGCTAACAATTAAAACTTAAATAAAAAGTCGTCTTCATTATATTGATATAATAGCCTACCACCGTATTAAAACTATAATTAAGTTCAATATTTTACAATTATGTCTTGTGTTCTTCACTTAAATTACATATTCAATAGAGTAAAGTTAAGTTTGAAAAGTTTGTGCACCTTATTTAGTACAGAGCTGAGTTACCCACAGACATGACTATGTGAGATATATTCATTATTTTTCCTACGTTAAGAGGGTTTCCTCTGTTGCAAAATTAAAGAAAATTTAATTTACTAGACATTTTCAAATTTTGGCAGATTTTTTATTTCGAATTGACGCATTTTCAAAAAAAGCATATAAATAATAGGGCAATTTAAACCTTAAAGAGGTTTAGGACGTTCTTGGAGCCTCATCCTTTATTAGTATTAATACTAAACCCTATTTGGCCTGGGGGGGGGGGGGCAATTTAACCCCCCTTTCATTTTCTTGCGATAAATCAAAGAAGTATTTGAGCTAGGAAGTTTAAATTTTCTGGCTTTTCTAACTAACACATGCCCCTCACTTACTCACTGAGTCCTCAGTCCAAAATGCCTTATTTTACCTATACCAGACTAAATATATATTTAGACCTACTCCCAAACATTGGATTTCGACATTTTACAGCTCTTTTGAAAGCCTATAACAAAAGCAAGCAGATTGCACAAATTTGCAAAGAAATTTTGCGCAGATTTTTGCACAGACGCGTTCAAAGGGAATTTTCACATTTTCAGATTTCTTGAATACACATTTAGGTTTTAAACATTTTGGAAATGTTTTTGCTTATTTGAAGGGCTTTTCAAAAATGTGTAATTTGTTGCAATTTGAGCAATTTTTTTCTTGCAAATTTTTGCTTTGTAACTAGATTTCGCAATAAATATTTGGGTTTTGCAAATTTGTCATTTTTTGCACATTATTGAAGAAGAGCCCAAGGGCTTTCCAAAAACGTATCAAATGCTTCAGCTTTGTATCACAATAAGAAAATAGAGAGGGGGTTAATTTTACCCCCCNCCCCGAGGCAGACGTCAGGCTAAATAGGGTTAAAAGTCATGGTCTGTTATAGAATTCAGTATTTCACAATTACATTTATATTTTCTTTCAGATAAATTATTTTTTCTCAAATTAGAACAATATATATTCCACAAAGAAATGCACAGAGAAAAAAAGCGATACTTTTTGGTCTGAAATCTGTGCCTTTAGCGCGCAAACGTGTTTGTTTCCTCTGAAGGGTTTAACCAAAGAAAACCAAAAATGTTTAGTAATTTTACTTTTTTTAGGAACTGAAAGCTGTGACTAAGCTGGATGATATTTACGTTACAGGCTTTCTAAGGTTGGTTTTTAAATGCCCGGCATTATTAAAATTTTAAGAGAAAGGTCGGCGAAATGTTAAACATAATCTTTAATTATAATATTTTGCTCTATGGTTTTTCTGGCCTTAGTTCTCTGCTATTTATTTTATCTCCCTAAGTTGTCTGGTTTTTTATTGTCTGGTTTATTATATCCCTAAATTGTCTGGTTTATTATATCCCTAAATTGTCTGGTTTATTTTATCCCTAAATTGTCTGATTTATTTTATCCCGAAGTTGTCTAGTTTATTTTATCTCCCTAAGTTGTCTAGTTTATTTTATCCCAAAGTTGTCTGGTTTAAATTATCCCTAAGTTGTCTAGTTTACTTTATCCCTAAGTTGTCTAGTTTATTTTATCACTAATTTGTCTGGTTTACTTTATCCCTAAGTTGTCTAGTTTATTTTATCACTAAATTGTCTGGTTTATTTTATCCCTAAGTTGTCTGGTTTATTTTATCCCTAAGTTGTTTAGTTTATTTTATCCCTAAGTTGTCTAGTTTATTTTATCCCTAAGTTGTCTAGTTTATTGTATCCCTAAGTTGTCTAGTTTATTTTATCCCAAAGTTTTCTAGTTTATTTTATCCCTAAATTTTCTGGTTTATTTCATCCCTAAATTGTCTGGTTTATTTTATCCCATAGTTCTCTGGTTTATTTTATCCCATAGCTCTCTGGTTTATTTTATCCCATAGTTCTCTGGTTTATTTTATCCCAAAGCTCTCTGGTTTATTTTATCCCATAGTTCTCTGATTTATTTTATTTCGTAGTTCTCTGGTTTATTTTATCCCATAGTTCTCTGGTTTATTTTATCCAGTAGTTCTCTGGTTTATGTTATCCCATAGTTAACTGGTTTATTTTTCCCATAGTTCTCTGGTTTATTTTATCCAGTAGTTCTCTGGTTTATTTTATCCCATAGCTCTTTGGTTTATTTTATCCCATAGTTCTCTGGTTTATTTTATCCCATAGTTCTCTGGTTTATTTTATCCCTCAGTTCTCTGGTTTGTTTTACCTTTCAATTCTCTGGGTTTTTTTGATATAATTGGGTAAGAGCATAGATTAACGAAAATACAGATAAAACACGCATGCCGCTTTGAATTACAAGATAGACAGAGTGTTTGTTCTAACTCCTTTGGGCTTCTGCCTCAGAGTTGTTGTGAACAAAAAATCCCCATAATCTTGAAAAGACGACATCTTGTGTTCTATCTATATTGTTATTAGTCAATAATTTCTTTCAATAAGATAGATAAAGACAAGAATTTTTTTAAATAAGATAGATAAAGACAAGAATTTCTTTAAATAAGATAGATAAAGACAAGAATTTCTTTATGTGAGATAGAGAAAGACAAGAATTTCTTGAAATAAGATACAGTGAAACCCTTAATAACGAATACATCGGAAGAATTTATGTCGTCTTGACAATTTTTCAATGAGTTTGATACTATATTACGTAAATTTCAGTATTTGCGAAAATAAATAAATAGCCATGAATATGCGGGAACAGTTTTAAAGAGTTCCATGTAATCATTCAATTAAAAAACTAAATATCTGCAACATTCCATTATCAGAAAGTGAAGAATACGACATTTGATGAATTTGTATTCGTTATTAAGGGTTTCACTGTAGATAAAGAAAAGAATTTCTTTAAGTGAGATAGAATAAGAAAAACATTTCTTATATATATAGTATAAGACAAGTATTTCTTCAAGAGTAATGGAATAATACAAGTAGTTCTTAAATAAGCATTTCTTTAAATTAGATATTATAATAAGAAAAGAATTTCTTAGATAAGATAGAGTGAGGCAAGAATATCCTTAAATAAGACAGAATAAGAAAAGAATTTCTTAGATAAGATAGAGTGAGGCAAGAACTTAAATAAGACAGAATAAGAAAAGAATTTCTTAGATAAGATAGAGTGAGGCAAGAACTTAAATAAGACAGAATTAGACAATAATTCTTTAATAAGATAGATAGATAGGCAGGGCTTTTCCTGAAGAAAAAAAAACAAGAATAAGATAGGAAGAGTGAAGAATGCAGTAGTATCTAGATGTAATGTTTCTTTTTTTATTAAGAATTAAGATAAATCATTTATTTTAGGAGATATACATATCATTTTTTTCATGAGGTTTTTTTTGCAGAGAACGTCTTCCTTGGATCAAACTTGAACAATTTGATGGAGGTAATTGAAATATAAAAAGTGAATATTCATGATTTCTTGACATGTTTTACTCATAATGAAAAATCTTGTTAAAAAATATCTAACATTTTTGATCTCATCTTTCTTTGATATAGGCTGAAATAATTTGTTATGATTAGCTTCAATTTGTACACTAATTAAATGAGTGCACAGTTAATTATAATATTATTAATTAATTGTTTATAATAATTAATTATGTTTAGGGTATACGGGTCTAGCATGGAACAGTTTTCTTTCCCAATGTCCTTTCCTCGGGATTTCAAAGGAAAAAGAACATTTAATAAAGTTTGGCAAAGATCTAAGATATTCCTTAAACGGTCTGTCCTTGATTTTAGATAGAATATTCAATATTTTTTATGCAAGTATTGCAGGATGTCTTCATGAAAAGGGATATGTCCTGCTTTAGATAAAATAGGATTGACTTCTATAGGCCTCAAAATTTAGAAGTTAGTTTAGTTCAAAATAATGCAAATGCATTTCATTAACATATAATTTGAATTTAAAAGTATTAAAATTCCAATTTTAACAAAACAAAAAATAAAAGAAGGGCTCCACAAAAACACTTCAATGAAAAAAATATAAAATAATATCAAGAGACTTTTAATCGATCTTAATTATTCAACTATTAAATTGGCGCGTTCAATTCAAAATAGTATCCTTAAACCATAAATTAATTAAAATTACAAATAGGACTCTCGATGTCGTCTTTTCAAGGTTTAGGGGTTTTTCATTCACATTGACCCCAAGTCAGAATCCCAAAGGAGTTACGTGCATGCTGCGTATAATTACAAGACATAGAGAGAGCCTGTTCTAGATCGACTGCGCGTAACTCCTTTTGGCCATTACCTCATAATGCTAATGAAAAACCACTAAATCTTGAAAAAACGACATCTAGGGTTCTATCTGTTATTTTAATTAAAATATTCATCTAACAATTCAAAAACATGTTAAGAAATAAACTCTCATTGATCAGTCAATGGTAATAAGGTTACCCTTTAGAATTTAATATTCCTCTCTTCGCCTGGAGGATCACTTGAAATTACGTCTACAGTCCCTTTAAATGATTTCGAAATCTTGAATTAAAATGTTCTATTTCATGGTCAGACAATTTTCTTGAACGACGTGGTTCTGGACAAGGGGAGCGGGAACATCTCCTACATCAAGGGAGGCTGGTTCTACTTCTGCGCCTTCCTGGAGTTCTTTGTATTCGAGAACCTAGAGTACATTCATCCGTCCTTAGCTCCTGATTCATTATGGGATATCTGTGCCAGATAAATCAGATTCATTACGGGATATCTGCGCCAGATAAATCAGATTCATTATGGGATATCTGTGCCAGATAAATCAGATTCATTACGGGATATCTGCGCCAGATAAATCAGATTCATTATGGAATATGATGTATATATCTAGTATATAAGTATGTATATTATATATAATCTTCTCTTTATTTAAGAATTCAGTATGTATAATCTAGTATAAAAGTATGTATAATATATATATATAATCTTCTCTTTATATAAGAATATAGCATGTACATATCTAGTATATAAGTATGTATAATATATTGCAGATAAATCAGATTCATTATGGAATATCTGCATCAGATAAATCAAATTCATTATGGGATCTCTTAGTCAGATAAATCAGATTTATTATGGAACATCTGCGTCAGATAAATCAGATTCATTATGGGATCTCTTCATGAGATAAATCAGATTTATTATGGAATATCTGCGTCAGATAAATTAAATTAATTATGGGATATCTGTGCCAGAAAAATCAGATTCATTATGGGATAAATGCGCCAGATATATAGGATTTATTATGGGATATCTATGCCAGATAAATCAGATTTACTGTGGGATATCTGCGCCAGATAAATCAGATCATCAAGGCATATATGTGCCACATAAAGTAAATATTGTATTTAAAAATAATGCAGTAATCTAGAAATCTCCCATCATTTCATACTATTTCTACCCTACACTCTACAGGAGAAATAGCAGTATTTAAAATAATGATTAAAAATCTTGTAGAATAAACATTATAAACATTGGTTTACACCAACAAACATTGTAAACATTGGTTTTTGCCCACAAACATTTTTATAGTCTCTAGACACATACAATTAAAAATAATATTGTGTTTCATTGCAAGATAAAAAAGGTGTTGGCATTGAAAAAAAAGATTAGCCTGTATCTGATATTTGATTTAATGTCTTAAAGGGACTGTAAAGGAAACATGAAAGGGAGTATAGGATGAAACCTTAGAATCTCAGGCATTGAACGATACAAATAAAACATCTATCTTATGTTCCTTCTGTAAAGTTGGAGATCAACAGCACTAGAAGTGAACTCCATTCTACTCTGAAAAATTACACAATATTAATAATAGTAATAAGCAAACCCAGACTTTCTAGAGCATCTGTCAGAGAAGGCTAGTGTCCCATGTGAGCTGAGTGTGAGTTGAGCTTTTAGAACTTAAGCTTTTTAACCAAACTACTGTTCATAATTTTCAGCTTATCATGTCTGCGCTTCATGGTTTTTTTCCTTTGCGATTGCATGTTTTCTTTTCTTTACCGTTTTTTCCATCATTTCATTGAGAACCTCGAAGAATTCACCGGCAGAGTCTATCGTTTCTTTACCGTCCTCATGCTCCCCTTCTGAATATTTACCCACTTCATCATCTGCATCATTATGATAAGCATAGCTATATTCTTCATATAATCTCTTCAGTTCCTCATTCACATTGTCTAGTGCTATTAACCCTATCCCCGCTGGGGTACTTGAAAACCAGGATACGCTGGGGGGGGGGGGGTCAATTTGACCCCCCCTCTAAATCCCATGTTTGATGTCCAAATATGACAAATGATACATCATTGGAAAGCTCTTGAGCTCTACTTTTAGAATCTGCAAAAAAAATTGCAAATTTGCAAAAATTGAATTTTTTATCGCAAAATCCAGTTATATAGTAAAAATGTTTGCAAAAAAAAAATTGCCCATAAAATGAAAAATTATACATTTTTGAAAAGCCCTTGACCATGCCATTTCAAATATGCAAAAATGTTTGCAAAATTTTAAATAACCTGATTTTTAATCAAGAAAAACTAAAAGTTTGCAAATTTCCTTTGACAGGTTGTTTGCAAAAAATTTGCAATTTATTTTTCGCAAAACTTGTGCAATCCGTTTCCTTATGTCATAGGCTTTCCAAAAAGCTAAATTTTATTAAAATCTGACAAGTGAAAGTGGGTCAAAACAAAGATTTAGTTTGTTACAGGAAAAAGCATTCATTCAGGCAGTGTGCCTGAGGACTCAGGCAGTTAGTATTAAAGCCCGGTTTTAGGCCTAAAGGGAGGGCTTTGGGTATGTAGGAAAAGTCAGAAAATTTCAACAGCCTCAGACCAATACTTTTTGAGTTATGTAAAAAAAACTACAGGGGGGGGTCAAATTGACCCCCCCCCCCAGCGGGAATAGGGTTAACACTTACTTCGCACTTTCCATGTCTTTGTTCAATTTGGAGTATTTCCCGTACAAATCGTTCATGTATTTGACATTTCTCTGTGGTCTTAAACTGTTTACGAAACTATTTAAGTAACTTTGGAATGATTAAATATCTTATAACAGATAATTACTGTGGGTTCCAATCAAAGGAATTTACAAAATTTACTAAAGTTCATGGAATAACACATCCAATTTCAGCACCATATAAGAGTAGAGCAAGGGCATATGTAGAATTGTAAAATGGAATATTGCAAAGGGATCTGAAAAATTTAACTATTTTTGAAAGAGAAAATTGGAGTGATTTGATTCCTTTAGTCACCTTTTTACTCAATAATAGAATTTTTTACAATGAAACTTTAACACCATCTCAACTACAATTTGGAGTTAAATTTTTAAGATATGACTTTATGAGACCTGAACAAAGAACTTTGTTCCAAAGTTTAATTCCTTAAAATTTGATGGATGCTGAAACAACATTTTCGGAAGTCATAGATCAGGAAGAAAAAGATTTCAACGAGCGAAGACTGAAAAACTTGAAAATGCTACAAGAGCCAAGTAATAAAAATAAGAAAGATACTAAACTACAAGTTAATGATTACGTGGTAGTTAAATCTTATGGAGATACAATTGGTATTTCACGCAAACTAAAATCGGTTTATGACAATATACCATTTAAAATTATTTCAATTAAATACTATAATTGTGTTTTATTAAATATTCTTGACGGAAGCCAATTTCTAAGGTGCGAGAAGATATTTATTTCAAGATATATAAAAATAAATGTAATTATGTAAAAATATAGGGTAGCTCGTGTAGACCAGTATATAGGCCTGAAATTATCAGCATAGTCTTGCACTGTGCAGATATTGAAGGTTATATTAAGGCCTGCTCGACTCTACTACTATACAGTATGATATGAACTTCTGTCGAATAAACACCTAAACAACTTGGATTGAAAAAGGTATTTTATTTATAAAATATAGCAAACAACATTTGCAAAGGGCAGTAGACGATATTAAAAAGATTGAAGTTTTAGATAGCTCTGATGGCAATTTTAATAACATTCCGAAAGAAGTATTTGCGATGCTTAATATAATCACAATGGACAATATTGTAGAAATATTCTCAAATAAAAAGGAAGAAACACCACAAATAAGAGTACCCCGCACGCGATCCAAACTATTAAATGACATTGATAGAGAAAAACAATTGTTAATGGATGAAATGTTAGATTTAGATAGTGAAGAAATAAACAGTTCTTATAAAAACATGTTACATTTTTGGAAGACTAGATTGGTGCATCTATGAAAACGGTCTGCCCTTGCTTAGTTTTACAACATGTGCATAAACCTACCCGCAACAGTGAATGAAGGAACATCACACCGCTCAAGCGCTAAACAATATGTTTCACTGCCACATGAATATACACATATTTGAGAAAGGAAAATAGTCGGTTTCATTAAACACATACACATAGCATTATAAAATAATATTTGCTTTTTACAAAAAACAAAGTAAAATCTAATAAAAATACAATATTAGAAGGTGTTATTTAAAAAAATAAAAAAGCCTAAATTAAAAAAAAAAATATGAGTGTTTTCAAAAATATATAAAAACCCTCATATCCCAGTTTATATTAAACAGTTTTACTATTTTGGGAAACAATTAAAAAGAATTATAGGCAGGGAAAGATATATTTATGGATTATATTAGTTGTATTTAACTTATAGGGTTCGTGAACGATAACTTAGCTCTTTCACTGCGAGATTTTTTGAAAGATTTTGAGAAGGTTTTCTTAAAAGGCCATTAAGAAAAAATTTTTAAAAGTTATTTTTCAAAATATATCCTATTTTTTGGTTCGCCACCGGAATTTGGCATGAGTATAATTGGTCTGGAGTATAAAGGTATGGCCATGACTGGGAATCAGGCATACATAAGTAAAAAATCACGAGCCAGGACACTTTAACAAAAACAAATTTGGTTGAATCACGAAAATTTGTTTTTGAAAATGATCAAGAAAATATATGATAATAAAATGGAATCTGAAAACTTGATCTATTATTTATAAAAGCAGGTCTTAAAACCTGTAAATAAATTGATTCATTAACATATTGGATTTGAAGAGTGATCCTTTTAAAATATACAAATAATAAATAAAAGCTGCAGTGGACTTATTGTTCTTAAAAAAGCTCCCAAAAAAAGATTAAAAATATATATATATATATGCCAAATGGAGATCAAAAGAAATAAAAAAGATCTACTATAGTAAAGTTTGGTTACAAAAATATAATTAATATTAAAAATCCAATGGGGCCAAAACAGGTTAATAAAATAAACATAAAGATCCATTATATGTCCCCTATAAATTGCCATAAAATAAATTAAGATTTCCTGGAATAGATTCTAAGTTAATTGTAATAGCAGACTATTTTAGAAAAGTAGTTAGGACATATATATTGCTTTCTCTAATTCTCTCTTTTTTCCTCTCAACCATATTTTGAAACTCATTTGTGCCTTAGTAACACAAATGCAGGTCTAGACTTATAATCCACACATTGATCTTGGTTTGTAACACCCACACAGTCATCTTGGTCTAGACAACATACAGTTAGGAGTGTCCGTGTGCTTTAAAAACTGAGGATGAGAAAATTAACTGCAGTTGCATCTTATCTAGCCCGATCAACACTGAAAATGCAGCTTTCTTTGCCAAGAGCATTCCCGTGGGTCGTAATGGCTATCACTTAATTCCTACCATAAATAATATGGTAGTAGCCATGAAGGATAGAGAACCAATACTCTACAAAAATGGGGAAGTGCTGAGAGTAAAAGATGTGAAGAGTCTGGCTCCCAGGAAGTGGATCACAAGCCAAGTTCTAAACTTGGCATTAAAAGATCTGACAAGAATAAGAGTACCTTATCCAATCGTAATGACTCTAGAGGATGGAGAATCTGTGCTTAGAAAACAGAAATTTGGAAATGCTGCAATTAACAAACTTCAAGATACAGCTGATAGCAGGATCATTCTATTGCCTCTATGGAATTTAGGGCATTATACCCTGGTTTCCATAGACAGAATAGCGGAAGAAATTCACTTTTTTGACAGTAGTGCATCAAGTTCTCCTGAAGATTTTCCAGATGAAGTCTTTCAAAAGGTTCAGAATGCGATGTGGAGCTCGCATATGCAAGATGGAAACTACATGTTTGTGAATCAGAAGATAAGGCAACAGGGCAACAGTTACGACTGTGCCCTGCATGTCCTTACTCACGGAATGAATATAAACATGACTGTGTACAAGAGAACAAATGATGTAAGGTTCAGTGCGCAAGCAATGTATGATCTAAGAAAATCATTGTTAGCGAGTTTTCTGGAGGATAAAGTGTGGGCGGACCATGAAGAGAGACAGATCAGACTACTTAATTCTGAGTACAGGGCTCTACCATTGGATGTAATAGTAATAAGTGATGACGACGTTGAAGTCATTGAACATGAGAAAGAAAAGAACCCTGAGCAAGAACAAGAACCTGAACCTGTCTTGGACGAGAGCTGGAAGTTGGTGAAATCGATGAAGGAGCTGAATAGAAAGTTTGGTTCCCTTCACAAAATGGAAACAATCTTAAGAAGAAACCCTGATGTCCTCAAGGAGTGGATCCAACTTAGATATGAACCCGCATCTAATCCAAACAAATTCAGATTTGGACCATTACGGAACAAAATAAAAGTAATTTGAATGCTCAAGCAAGCTGAAGCCAAAAGGAGAAGGAATCAAAATAAGAAGAAAAGGAGGGCACAGAAAACTTTTAATGGAAAACAAAGGTCTCCTATTTATTCTCCTTTTTAAAAAGGTTGCTCTGGTTCGAAAGGACCTGTTCTTTTTTCTTACAAGAAAAGAATAATAAGCAAAAAATATGAAAAAATAAATAGAGGATAGGTAATGGGAAAATATATATATATATTGTGTGCATTTATCAATAAAACTTTGTATATCATTTAATGTGTTATTAGTAAGAAAGAGTAGATCTAGCTAAAGCAGAAAAAATTGAAACAAAAATATTATTGGATGAATCCTTTCTTATTTTCCTGTTACAATTACAGGTTGTTGTGGATCGAAAGAACCTATTCTTTCTTTTAACAACGAAAGAATAATCAACGAAAAATCAAAATATGAGGGATTTATTTAAACATGAACATAAAATGGCGCCTAATTTTTAATAAAAAGTAGAAAATATGAGGTTCACTCGGTAACATGAGAGTTGAAGCAGAAATATTCTGACCAGGGGTATAGCCATATGTGGCGACAAACAGGGGTGGTTAATTCTACAGGA